CAACTGAAACATCATTAATTCAACTTTCTTATTTTCTTTAGATCAACTTTTTAATGTTCTTTTTTGTTTCTGCATTTTTATTTTATTTTATTTTATTTCATTTATTATTTATTTTTTTCCTACTTGCTTTTATTCTTTTATTTTCCTATATTTAATCATGTAAAGCACTTTGCATTGTCTTTGTACTGAATTGTGCTGTAAAAATAAAATTGCCTTGCCTTGTTAAAACTGATATCAACCTTCTAAAACCTTTAGTTTAAGATTGTTTAGATTTAACAAGGGAAGGGGGGACTTAGAGACTACAAAAATCAAATACTAATTTTAAAGCTGCATTTTTCTTTATTAAAACCAAACAGGGAAAATCTCTAAGGGTTCAATTACTTTAGCACAGCACTGAATTTATTGCAATTCAATTTCGACATAGCGCCAATTCATGACACATTTCATCTCCAGGCATTTTACAGAGACAGTTGAATCAGCTCACAAAGCCAAAATGGTTGAAAGTAGGTTTAGATGAAAAACCTAAACAATGAACTATAACCCCAGAAAATGTGATTTGACCACAACAATGAGACCTTTTGATAAAGTTGTTCCAGTTTCAGTCCTTTTAGACATTAAAAAACTGTCTTTAAATGGTTTAAAATCTATTTTGTTCCATTATTCTTAAGCTTTGGTTTTTCTCAGATTGTGATAGTCAACAGTGTTGATTAGCTGTTCACTTTCACATCTCAAAAGATTTAAAGGAAAAGTCTGATCAGCAAGAAACAATCAATGGATCATTATTAATACCTAAAACTAATAAGTTTGCGGTGATTTAATGAATTTATTGTTAATCATACAGCACTGGGACTTGATCAACAGCCGATACCGCACCGTCACAAACCAGTAGGTGGCAGTAGTGTTCTTTGACAAACATGGATGCCTCCAGTAAAGCACATTCACATGAAAATTACTCTAAATTAAAAACACTGATCATTTATTGAACAGGATGGAATAATTTCATATTTAAAGTACTTTCAGTTTGTAGTTCGTATTCTGAATAAAAGCGGAGTTTTCTGTTAACCAAATTTTCAACAAGCTTACTCTGTAATCACTTCTCTCTAAAACAGATAAAGGAGCTATTACAGATTATAACTTCACACAACCTTACTTGAAATTAACGCATATATAGCTAAGCTAGTTTTATGTAGCATAAATCAAAAACCTGTGATTTAGATTTGAGGTGTGTCACAGCATGTTGTTACTGTCAACGCATCACATCAGTGACATAAAAAAGTGGAAAATTGTTCTTTACATCTTCCTGCCTGTTTGCCTCATTAACAAACCATCTGTAAGAGTTACTGATGCCAATGGTTTCTATTTTATGTCCTTTTCAGAATTGTTCTAAAATAAAAAAAATCAAAGCCTGAAACTGTTTATCTGAAGTCAGTGTTACATCGTCTTCACCTGTTTCTGTGACCTGATGAAAAAATGAAGTTAATTTAAATTCACCATTTAAGATGAACTAAAGTCTTTTCCTTTTATTTTTTTATTTTTTTAACCAAGAGATTCAGCTTTCTTTGCTGCAGGATGAGAACTAAGTTCAGACAGTAAACTGTGAGAATGAAGTCTGAAGAAGGGGCGCTCTGGCACTGAAATAAACTTTTCAAACTGGTTCCCATGACCGGCGTCCACATTGGGAAAGTGGCCGATGGGACAAATTCCAGGGAGCCCATCTGAGCTTAGGAATGTTTGAGAACCAGTAAAAATGTAAGGTTCTTTATGTTCTTTCCCATAGTGTCCTTTTTTTAACATATAAAAATACTGCTTTATTTTCCATTATTAAAAGAGCAAAAAGAAAAGTCTCATTTTGGGATAGTACTATTTTAATAAACTCAGTCATTCTGAGAGATAAACATTAACAGTTAATGAATCACACAATAACATGGAGTTGGACAAAATAACAGATGATGTAAAGGAATTCAATTCATTATACTTTTGAAGCAAAAGTGTGGGAAAGCTTTTTATGTAAGGAAATTAAATTAATAGAATCAGTTTTGTCTTAAATGAGGAAAAATGTTAGATGAGGTTTACCTGCAGGCCACAGTGTGTAAATATGAATTAAAAGGAAAATAATGTGTAGATAAATAGATATATTTACAAAACGTGTTCTTTTCTTGCAACAAAAATATACAAAAATCATTATATAAATGTGCAGCATTGGAGAAACATTTAACTTCTAACTTTTCTACATGCATCTTTCCATTCTTGGATGATTGATTGATTGATTGATTGATTGATTGATTGATTGATTGATTGATTAATTGATTGATTGATTGAAGCACGTATTTCTGTCAAACAAAGGCTCACTTTTGGCCATTTTAGTCCAGATTTTTGAAGTGCATGATTGATAGTCATAAACAGTTTAGGGATCAAGTTACTGTTTCATGGATTCAAAATATCCTCCTTGGTTGCACTAATTTAGAGTGATCAGAGAAAAGGCTGCTGGGTGAACATTAATCCACAATATAAAGATATTTCTTTGTAGAAAACATTTAAAATAACAACCTTTTTGAAGGTTTGGATGTATGTTATAAATAATTTAGGATCAAATTTAAACAACAGCAGTTCTTGGGGCAACAGTGCCCTCTAGTGGCTTTCTTTACATAATCTTGTTTTTGTTAAACTGACTATAAAAATGTATTACTATTACTATTATTATTCCTCTGGATTCAAAGCACCAAAATATTTTAACTCCGTTTGTTTATTTCTATAGCGCCAATTCAGAAGATATCATCTCAAGAGAGAAAATTCAATCAGATCATCCAGTCAGTTTGGTTTCCTATCTAAGGGAAATCAGCGCATTGCTTCCACTCATTAACTTTGCCTGATATTCTCCTCCTGGATGAGCATGTGGCAATATTCATTGCACTGTGTTGTTGATCCTACACAACAATCCCTCACATGAACATGCGTGCAGTGACAGTGGAGAAGAAAAACTCTCTTTTAACAGGAAGAAACCTTCAGCATAACCTGAACCAGTTTCAACCAGCGATTCAAGGAAACAGAAGCAGAAGCACAGAGGAAACACAGAAGCACTTATCCATGAATGCTTTATTTTAATACTCAGTTAACTAGCTCCACAGGTGACTCTGACAAGGAAACAAACAATGAAGCAGATGAACTCTGATCCAGTTTACAAAAGGAATAGAAGGGAGCACACTGAGTTTATCAGAGTTAAAGCTGAACCATAGCTCTGTCTAAGAGAAAAAAGGACTAAATACTGAAAAAACAGGCCAGACTCTATCATCTATACGTAAAGGTGTTGATGGCAGCAGCACAGCTGCTATTTCTCTCCATGATGGTGTCCCAGCCAAGCAGGAACGGACAGAAAAAGCAAGAACAAAAAGTTGGGGATGAACTATTTCTGTTTCAGTGTCCAAATAAGTCAGTGGGAGATTCTGCAAGGACGTTACTCTTGGTCTTTGAAATCTCTCTGTCAAGCTGTAGTCTCTTTATTTATTTCATAGTGTCAAAGTTTTCTCTTTCTGCCTCCATTGACATTCAGTTAACTTCTGCAGCTGCCTGCTGTAGGTCCCCTATTGGTTCATTTATTTCACATTTAGATTCAGCATCTTGCAGCCTGCTTCAAGTGTAAGATTCTATACCTGGCCTACCAGATTAAGGCTTTTTTGTACAGTGAACTGGCTTGTTTCCCATTATTTTAAGACGTCTTAATCCCTTCTCAGACTCATCTGCTGCATTCTTCTTCCTGACGACCTAAAGCAGCTTATTTGACCTCACAGTCTAATGTTTAAGGTATGAAAAGAGAGCCTCCTTTAAAATGTTAAGTAGTTATGGAGCTAAACTATAGCTCCATAACTACTTAACATGGAGCTGGTTTAGATCCAAGATTAGTGAAACTGTGTGTCACTTTAGCTAATTTAAGAAGAGGAGATATCCTTTGTTATTTTTCATCTAAAGCTGTATTCTTAAATCCTAATTTATTAAAAGTTTAATGGCAAAAAATAATCTGAAATGGTTTCTTGATTTAATTTGTGTATCTGTCATTCGTTTGAGATGGTAAGTAAAATGATCTGCCAGTGGAATTAATATTTTGGCCCCTAGAATAAGATTTTAATATAAGCAGCACTTAAAATAAAATAAAATAAAATAACACTATTTCTAACATTTTGAATTGAAAAAGCTTCCTGGATAAGAAGCGAAACGTCTTCAAACTTGGAAACAAAGTCCAGTGGATTGTTTTTAGTTCTTTGGAATAAAATGATCTGCCAATGGAATTAATATTTTGGCCCCTAGAATAAGATTTTAATATAAGCAGCACTTAAAATAAAATAATGGAGACATTTTTTTACTTTAAGTGAAAGAAATCTTGGCAGATTATTTCACTAAGCAACTCAAATCAAGTGCAAATACAGTCACTTCCTGATAAATCTACTAAATTTTTGTCCATTTCTTTGCAGTATTTCTATGCGTTTTTCTTTTGTTAATTTATTTATCTTAAAATGTTCAATACTGCCAAATAGGATAACACATACCTCTAAGTGTTTTGTGTTTTTTTTCTGAGAGCTGGTAGAAACAAGCTCTGGATGTGTTTGTTTCCTCTCTATAAGCTGTGTTTTCCTTCTGTCTTTCCCATATTCACGCTGCCACCTGTTTGCCATCCATAATCTCGCAGCAGGATGCAGCTCATGCCACTGCTATATTTATACCCTAAACATGCCTTGTTTAGTGCTGCCTCCATGTTCCCAGGAAAAGCTGCTACGAGAAAAGACGCAAATGAGACGATTTATAAAAGGAAGCCCCGTTTCCAGTTAGTAGTCACATTAAATTTAACCTCACACGTTTATTTTCTATTTCCACACATGTTTAAAAAATTATTTTTTTAACATGTGTGTTTTTTTTTTATTTGTGCTTTTGTTCTTAGCACATTATGAGAGTTGCAACACAGCTTTTATTTTGAAACTTGAGCCACCAGGAATTGGTGACTCCAGCTGACCCTGCCCTGTGGTCTCTGTGAACGGGTTTACAGGCTGCTGGAAGGTAATCTGAGAGGCTTTGAAAACAACCCTCCAAACGATCTAATCCTGACACTAACTCGGTTTCTTTCTTCTTCAAATTACATTTAGCTGCTGTTTAGTTTAAGTAATTTGTTTGTTCTGCAGCAGATTGTTCTCTTGTGGTTAATCTGAATTTGTCTGTGTATTAAAGGATCCCTCTAATCTGTGACCTAATTTTCTAAATTTACGAGCTATCTACCTATATCATCGCTCAACATGGAATTTATGGTCATACCTGTTATTTCTAGGGAGATCCTTCACAGCTCTATGTCCCTCTATCATGACGCCCTGCTGAAGGTGCTGATAAAAAATGATGAGCAATAATCTGTGAAGCAAACACAAATGTTTATAACTTATTTGACTCCATTACTCAGAATAAAGTATAAATCTCACTTTCCCAGCTAAATATTTTTGGCTGGGAAAGTGAGAAATAGGACAAAACCTTGAAATAGCTTTTGATTGGCATTTATAACAAAACTTTTATCATTCTGTTATCACAACTTTTTAGTTGACACATTTTAGTTAACTTTATTTATTTTTCTGTATAATTTGCAACAGATTAACATTTCTCTTTTTATTATTCTTTCTTTTTCCTCCTTGGGATTGCTGAGCCATGGGTCATACCATTCTCTGTAGGTCCAGAGTTTATTGTTTCTTTTTGTTCGATTTTGTAATTTAAGTAATTTGTTGAAGTTAAATATTATTTACTTCCTTATATATTCATTAATGATAGCCTGGCCAGTGTTTGCTTGTTGATTTAAATCTGTCTTCAGTGTTTTTTTTTATCCCACCAATGTGGGAAGAGTGGTCTGATCAACTCTCACTCATGGCTCATTTGTTTAGATCCGCTTTGTTTGAGTTTGTAAAGTAATGACCTGAGTTAGATTTATTTGCCCTTTTATTTGGCCTGATTATTAATCGTGTCGAAATCTGTTTGTACCTTAAACTAAATCTGATTTGAACACGTTTCGTGTGTCTCTTGCTGGTTGTGTAATCCCTGCCAGGTCATTTTCAGAGATTAACAGCGTCTCAGCTGACTTAAAAAAGGTGTCAGACCTTAATGAGCTTCTTATGGCTGGAGATTATTTAGAGCCGCTGTAAAGAAAGGAGAGATGATTGGAATGTGAAAACATCTACCGCAACAAACCAAGGAACATTGAAAGAATATTACAAACAAATCAGTTTCATACTCTAGACCAGTGGTTCTCAAACTTTTTCTGTCATTCCCCACTTTGGACAAGGGGGAATTTTCAAGCCCCGCCTGTCCCCATCGCCCCAACACAATGCTAATGAAATATGCAACAATCTTAAAATGTTCCAATTTTACTGAAGTAACAAGTAGTATCTAAATACAAACTATCTACATCAAATAACAGCAAGCTAAAAAATAAAGAAAATAAAAATGCAGCTGTGTCAAAATTTGTATCAAGCTCAAAGATAGAAAAAATTAAAGTGCCACTCTGCAATCTGTTAATAAAAGAAAAGAAGTGAAATCCATCTGGCAAGACAGGTCTATTTATCCCTGCATTAGTGGCTGCGATGAGCCTGTTTTGCATTGCACAGTTTCTCAAAACGGGGTTACAGGCTTGATACTGCCACTCTCAAGTCATGCTCAATGTTCAGCTGAGATCTGTATTTTGTTTTCATTGAAGCAACAGCTGAAAAGCCCATCTCACAGAGATATGATGTGGCAAAGGGAAGAAGAATGCACACAGCTCTCTGCCCGATGAGTGGATACTCCCTCTCCACTCCTAACCAGAATTCACTATTAGTCTGAGCATTAAACCTGAGCTTCAGGGTGGAGTCAGACGTCATTTCAATAAACTGGTCCTCCTCAGCAGACCTAAAATCAGCAGGTGCTGCAGACAGAATAGGAAAAAATAGACTTACTTTATTTTTCATTGCATAATAAACTAATAAAATATTTCAAATTCAGTTATTTATGATCAACCTGCGCCGTCAATCCCGGCGCATGTGCGCTTTATTTGCAGTCTGGACGCAAAAGTTAAACATGCTGTGTCTCTGCTCTGACTGCAGCGCTGATAGGGACTCCTGCGATAGCGGGGGAGAACGGGGTTGGGACGGAGGAGGCGCCCCACGGCAGCACCTGCCGCTAGAGGACAAGAAAAGGAACGATACGTGCTTTCACGTAAGAGTCTCCAAAAGTCGCTAGATTTGTCGCTAGTCGCTTTTTTGAAAAAGAGTCGCTGGAGGGGTCTGAAATATAGCGACAAAGTCGCTGAGTTGGCAACACTGGGGCGCGAAAGTTTATTCCGTTACAAATAATATGCCGACGTCACGTCAATAATTATTTTGGCACTTCAGTTCCAGGTGAAATGTTTCTCATATCTAATGTTCTTTTAATTAGACTGCATGTAGGCTAGTAATGATTACTTTGTGGGTTTGATTGGTCTAAAAAGCGGCAACATACAGCTATAAGGACAGTTTGCTCTCACACGTTCTACATTTATAGTCACACACACACACACACACACACCGGAACTTGGCGCGCCCCACCTGTCACGTCTCAATTCCCCACCAGTGGGTCGCGCCACACACTTTGAGAACCGCGGCTCTAGACAGACTAATGGAAGGACATGGTTGTTAAGCAGAGGTGGGTAGTATTTACTTGAGTAACTCCTAAAATAAATACTTCTAGTAGTAGTTTAATCCAGTTTTTACTTGAACTTGAGCAGTATTCTTTTGAAAGTATTGCTACTCTTACCTCAGTAAAATGTATGGCTACTCAACACGGGTAGCTTGAGATGTTCAAGATAAATATACAGCAAAAAGTTGAAATTGCTGCTGCATGTTCTTCCCAACATATATGCATTGCATATTGATTGGTTTCAATAGTTCTTCTGCCCAGATTTCTGATTTTGTAGATCTTTTTTATCTATTTCTATTTTGAATTTTATTTCATACAAATAAACTACAAGAATCTCTGCCTTATTATATTATTTTAAACATTAAATATGAATAATATGAAGAGCCAACAGTTCCTCCGTACCTGAGTAGCCATTTTAGTACTATTTTACTATTACTTTAGTCGTTTGCTAGATAAATACTTTCTTTGACTCTACATACAGCAATGACCCCAAACACCAGCCGTCATTTAGATGTTGGTTTTAGGCTAAATCTGGCTAAATCTAGTCTTGATTTAGTCCCAAAATCATTGTTGAAAATTAGGCTGTCTTTGGTCAGTCTGATTTAATCCCACTTTAGTCCAATAATAGAAGTTGAAAAGATAATGCAAACTCAGTGTTCAATGTCTTTTCAGTGATTTGATAGTTATGGCTTCACCTTTCACTTTTCATCCAAAATGTAGACGTTGTTTGGACGTAAATCATGTCATTCCTTTCAATGTCTTTTCAACCAATATTTGCTCGGTGGATCCCTCACACTGAGCATGCATGCAGGAACAGTGGAGAGGAAAAACTCCCTTTTAACAGGAAGAATCCTCCAGCAGAACCTATAGCTTTTTATGTTAGAAAAAAGATAACTTTATCTACCTCCATGGGTGGCTCCATCTAGCAAAGAAATGGTGCATGTCAAAGGGATGAAACAGAGCAAATAATAGGACTAAACACTGAAAAACAGGACCAAATCTATCATCTATAATCAATGGCGCTGATTGCAACATCAAACTGATATTTGTCAGATAAAATGAAGTTACTATAACAAGAAAAAGCAGAGAGAGCATAAAGATAGACATTGAACTTACCGTACAAATACTACAAAATCATAGAATGATAAAATGTGGTCCCTATGCTTTCCAGCAGCCTAAGCCTATAGCAGCACTTTAGCTATGTAGTCAACTCAGGATAAGCTGAGCCACTCTAACTATTTAAGCTTTATCGAAAACAAAAGTTTAACCTAGTACTAAGCATAAATTAATTAGATTGATTAAAATTTGATTTACTGACACATAAAAATATTACTTCAGTTAAATAGAGCTTAACAATAATTGAATTAAGAATTACATATATCAACATCTAATGATTTATTTAACAAAATAAAAATAACATCATCAAACAAAGTACCAAGGAACTGGACAGCATGGATAATTTTGCACAGTGGGGGCCTTCATATGACAGAAAGGATTGAGAAAGAGGGCGGAAGACATGCAGCAAGGTCAACAGACCAGAATTTGGACCCATGTGAGCCAGTTTAAAGACCAAGGCCTCCATGGGTTGCATGCCTGACCACCACACCACTGTTGCACTCCCAATACGTAGAAAATGTATACATCAAAATTGACTTCTAACTGTTTTCATGCATGCCTTTGAATAAAAAAAAAAAGGTTATAACGTATTCATCTTTATTTCCCCAATTTCACAGCAGTTCTGTCAGTGTTCTGGGTATCTTTGATGGTTAAAAGACAGGATTTCAGGGCCTACCTTTAACATTTACTCATTCTAAAAAGAAAAATTAAAGTACTCAGATCACTATTAAAGGTCAGCATTCCAAATTCCTGTTATTGTACAACAGCAAAAAAAAAAAAAAAAAGTACAAAATTATTCAGTCATAGGACACTGGGCCAGTTCTAATATTATTTTTATCTGATTAAAATAAACCTGATTTGGAATGTACAAAAAAATACAGACTCAACATTGTTCAGTGAACATAGCTTAATCTCACAGTCGGGAAATTCAGGTGTGACAGAAAAAAGAAAAGAAAAATTAGGAAAAACAAGGCTTATAGGTTCACACAAGATTAACACACAAGAGCTGGCCGTGAGACAGACACATCGCTGATGATACAGAGCGCTATGATCACTCCTCTGAAACAGTTTATTGACGCATAAATTAACTTAAAATGCATAAATCTGCCGGCAGAATATGTTCCCTTTTATTATCCTGGTGCTGCCAGTTTAGATTGTACCAGTTAGTTCTGACGCGCGGCTGAAGCAGCTTTGCTGCTCTGGCTGTGCGGTGCAAAAGTGTGTCTGACTCGCGTTGGGCGGAGCTACTCTATCCTTTCTTTGCCTTGCAGCTATATTTGCTGTGATCAGTGGGAATAAAGTAGGTTAAAAATGTTTTTAAGTGGGAAAATCCACCTGAAACTTAATTCAAAAGCAGCCTCTAGCCGGGTCGCCTCCTCGTGGTTCACCGCGGCGGCTGGTAGGTGTTTTTCATCTAACTAATCCAAACTGCAGGCAGCAGGATAATAAAAGCGAACATATTCTTTCGGCAGGTTTCTGCATTTTAAGTTAATTTAGGCATCAATAATCTGTTTCAGAGGAGTGATCACAGCGCTCTGTATTATCAGCGATGTGTTTGGCCCAGCTCCCAGATCAGCTTCTCTGATTGGTTGATGCGGCTCGTCAAGCAGCAAAACTTCAATTTTTCCATCTTGAGCGGCAGCGCATTTGCGGCGCTCAGACGTTTTGCTGCTCCTCGACGTGCGTCAACCATTGACTATGCATGTAAACTCGCTGCTTCTGCTGCTTTTTCTGTGTCCGGTTCACACCGAAGTCGAGCGGTTGAAGTTACTTTGTCAGACTTCCCGGAATAACAACGTTGTTGGTCTCAACAACGGTAGTAACAACACACATAAGGCGCATCGCACTATAGGGTGCGCCGCACATTTTTAGGGGAAAAAAATACGTTTATATGCGCCTTATAGTCGGTAAAAAAAATCGTTTTAAAAGTTTAATTAAACAGAGGAAAACAGAATGCACTGAAACATTCTTGCAGTGTGGGAAGCTTTGTAGGGATCTTTGTCCATTACATGACTCCACCTCAGCTGCTGGTGTACAGATGACCTCATGTTTGACCCATGAATACTTTGCTCTACCAACGATTTCACAGTCAACTCAGTGACACCAAGCTGAGATAAGATTAATCTTCATTATCTGGGTGTTGTACAATCACTAAAGTCCTCAACAGACTTTACAGTCTACAGAAAATAATTGTTTCCCACTTTATTTCTTCATAAGTCTTTAAGAACAGCAGGCAGAACAGGTGGTGGATTTGGAGGTGTTTCCTTGTCTTGATCTTAGGTCTGGAAAAATCCCAGATGCACAACTTGCAACCTCATCCAGAAAGGTCAAGAGACAACTAATAAACATTTGTGTCGATCTAATGACTCACTACAGCCACAATAAAGCCAGCATATCATTTGCATTTGTCAGCACATTATCAACAGTACAACAAATGAAGGTTAGTGGAAACCTCTGCTGCAGATTGTTCTGTTTTGGTTCCTTCATGACCAAAGCCCCTATTAAACTGTCTTGACCGCTATTGTTGCTTAAGATGAGAAAGAGAGATCATCCCAGAAACATTTAAAGGTGGACACCATTTCCACAGATTCCCCACTGATGTTTGAGAGGGCCCTAATCAACTGCAGTGCTTCCAGAAATCTAAACCACCCTGTCGGACACTGCACCTTAACGGTAGAAGCTCAGTCACCCCTTTGCCACCCCTCCTCAAGGTACTGATCTCATCAGTGTCTGTATACACCCTACAAAACAGCTCAGCAAACAGCCGAGAAGACAGGCTGTGCTGAGCGTTTGCAAAGAGGAGGGGTGGATCCCGTTTTTTTCCATTAAATAAGTGCCCTCTAAAAAAAGCTTTTAATTGTAATCATGCATGCCAGTGGACTGGGTTGCACTGTGACTATGTTCCTTCTGAAAGCAAGCAAATACCTGATCTAACTCAGTGCCAGAAAAGTGTCCACAGTAGGAGTCCCTTAAGGTGTAATTTACCCCAACATCTACTTAAAATCAACATTTTAACTGTATAAACTTGGTCTTATACTGATTCACCACGTCGCTTATCGGCAGTCAAGGCAGCGACTCCCAGACTTCTCTCTCCACAGACACCTCGTTCAGCTGTTCAAGGGGAGACCTGAGGAGTTCCAGGGCCAGCTTGTCCTGGGGAATCCCCTTGGCCTCGTCCCAGTGGGACGGGCCAAGAAGACCTTCTGAGGGTGGTGTCCATGAGGCATCCAACACAGATGTCCGAGCCACCTCAGATGACTTGTCTCCATGTGGAGGAGAAGTGGCTCTAAGCCGAGCCAGATGATCGAGCTCTTCATCCTATCTCTAAGGTAGTGACCCACCACATTGCAGAGAAAGCTGATTTCATTGGCATGTTTTGGCAATCTGTTTTTTTTTTCATTCATGATACAGATTTTATGACCATAGGTGAGGGTAGGAGCATAAAACAACCGGCAGATCAAGAGCTTTGTCTTTTTGCTCAAGTCTCTCCACATTATGGGGGCAGCCACACCGATCTGTCTTCTACCTTATACCCCCACCTTAATCTGGTGAAAGGGTTTTATGCCCAGATGTTCATGAAGGCTACAAAAACAAGGCCAGTGACGTCCAGGCCTGCGGTTGGCAAGTGACTGATGGTTGAGTTCATCCTCACAGGGCCTACCACCTGCAGGGGGAACCATCAGGGACCAGTGACAAGACGACTGTGCGGTAGATGGAGGCATAGGCAGAGTTAACCTAATCAAAAGACACCTAATCTGGGTCTATGGGGTGCTATTTCAATGCTGCTACGGATTTCCTAACATTTCAAGTGAAGCTGTTGAGGTCATTGTATTGCATATTGCAGGCTAACAAAGACCTCGACGATTCCCCATTACTGAGGGATGCACCTGTTCTCTCCGTTCAATTTGCATGTTTCCTAAGCCGTAACAAGGCTTTGTTTTGGTCCACTCTATAAAGCTTGGATCTCAACACTAATCCAGATATTCTTAATGGAAAAATCTTCCTGGATGGGAAGCAAAGCATCTTCAGACTTTGAAAACAGAGTCTAGTGGTTTGTTTTTTAACTTTTGGGGATTTCCTGTTGATTCAAATGGTACATGCTAGTAGACACCTCCTCACCATTGCCTTGATTCAACTATAAATAAAAATAACAGACGCATTTATTTCACAAAAATGATTTACAATTGTCCTCTTTATTTCACTAGTTTTTGATTTTTAGCCCTGTTCTGCATAAATGTATTTTTTTGTTTTGATTTTATTGTTGTTATCAGTGATGGGACTAACGGCGTTGAAACTAACGGCGTTACTAACGCCGTTACCTTGTTTTAGTAACGAGTAATCTAACTAATTACTTTGACTGTAACTATAACGCAGTTACCATTGCAGACACCCCGTTACTGCGCGTTACTCAGGTCGCACAATGAACCTTTTTTCATGATAGGACTCGTGCGCAGCTGCGTGAAGCTGACACCCCACCCACGTCAAAAAACTCTGCAAATAGACTGAATGGTTAGTGCAACGTTAGTGCAGATTTGTGCAGAAAAAAATATTGTTTGTGCTACTTTTGTTTAAGAGATATTAAAGATTTATTTTAGGTCATCCAGAGGTGCGCGCCTTGTCATGAGAGAGGGGAGGATGAGAATCCGTCTGTCAGTTGAATAGGTTGGTGTTTCTGCTGGTGGGTGTTAACGTACAGCACACACAGAGAGATGGAGAGTGATGATGACTCCAGCAGCAAAACAGCGTTTTCCACATGGAAATACCGGTGTTACGTAGAGCTGCGTTTCCCCATCACATAACGGTTTCCTCTGCATCTCCACACAGCGCAGGCGGCAAGAGTCACCGCGCAAGCGACATGAAACGCGCATGCTCGCTAAAGGCGCGCAACAGTCGCTCTGTGCTCGCGCCACAGGAGAACTGTGGAGAGCGGGAACGATCAAATGAACCTGACAACAGCCAGAAATGATAGCCTATATGGAGAAAGGGAGAAATCTGGATGGATGGATGGATGGATGGATGGATGGATGGATGGATGGATGGATGGATGGATGGATGGATGGATGGATGGATGGATGGATACTCTGCCTTCTCAACCTACTGTATTTTTTATTTTAAACATTATTTGATGGCCTTTGTGGCAGGGATGGAGATCCATATTTTATGTCACACACAGAGTATACATCTAGATAGATAGATGTTGCAGTATCTATAACAACCCAAACACACAGGATTTCAGAATTAGACATCCCCAGTTATTAATTTCATATACTCACCGGATCTGAATGTCCTGTTATAAAACTTTACATCGCGTTCCCCCCTGATGTCATTTACGTTGAGTTGCAATAAATGCTTAACTCTCTGCAGGTTCTTGTCTTTGTCGTCCGCTCTATTCAGCTGGCTTTAGAAACACACGGTGAGAAGGTGGGGGCTGGGTGGTGAGGTTTACGGGGGCGAGAAACGCAAAAGTAACGCAATAGTTACTTTTACTAGTAACTAGTTACTTTTATTGTGGAGTAACTCAGTTAGTAACTCAGTTACTTTTTGGGAGAAGTAACTAGTAACTATAACTAATTACTTTTTCAAAGTAACGTGCCCAACACTGGTTGTTATACACCGAGACAAATAAAAAAAAAAAGAAGAGAACTAAAATATTTTATTCCTTAGTTTGGAAAATGACAGAATGTGGAAACGATCTATGAGTGAAATAGGGAAAGCATTCGGCATAAATGTATACTCGAAATAATTCAATTCTTAAAATTATGTTAATTACTCTATGTTTTTGTGACCAAACTTTGACATAATATCTGTTTTCACAGAACAGAGATCACATTTTTAATCACAGAAAACAAAGACGGTGGACATTAAATCCTTTTATCCAGACTTCTACCTTCAAAGACTCTCTGTGTCCTAACAGATAAGAGGATCTGGCCTCATATAAAACAGGTTCTGTTTGCCCAGTTCCTGTTTTCTTACACAACTGTCAGGGTTGCAAAGCACCTATTGTGCAGTAACCACAGGCTGCCACCAGGTGTCGCCAAGTACTCACAAAAGGCCTTAATAATAGTCCTATTTGTTTGGAACATAGTTGATTATTGTAAAGCCTTGATAAGATAAGAGTAACTATATTTACATAATACTCCTACCTGAGTTTATAATGATGGATTTAAATTGTTTTCAATCTTTATTACACCTTTCCACTTTTAATTTCCGGTGTTTACAGCCTGAGCAGCTGCAGACTCTGGATGGACCCTGGCTTCTGGCAGTGGGCCTGTTTAAAACCATTCCTGTCACGTTGTTGCTGAGCTTTGGTCAAAAGAAGGTGACACTGATCCTGGCCCGAGCTGCTTACAGCTGGCTTATTTCCCACATATCCAAGAAGCACTCAGATTGTCCAGATCCATAAGTAGTGATTATAACACCTTAGAATAGATGGCATGTGCTCAAATCCTAAGATTATGCCTGTGAGATCCTGTCTGAAGAAGAGTAATCACTGTTGGGAATCAAGAAGTTTAAGGTGCACTGGATTGATCAAGGAAGAAGACAGAGTGATGGACAGGAACCTGTTATAAAGGTTGGGTTGTTGAGATGTAAACACCAATGAATGATTTTATGACTACATCTATAGTAACCAGATTAAGATAACTGATTATAAAATAAGAACTATTTTACTTAATATTTTAATTTGAGCAATTGATTATCCGGCATTTCATGCTTTCCATCTCAAATAAAAAAAAAAACATAAATATGAAATCATAAAATCATATCATAAACATGTATTTATAAAACTGGAGCTCCTCTGAGTAGATCATTATAATCACATTTAAAGTGAATGAATATGGAACAAAAAACAGAATGATTTAGTTTTGCTTTGTTTTTATCCAGACACCTGAGCTGCTTTGATGAGCTTTGATCGCTCAGGTGTGGAAAAACAGCTGATACCAGACTGTTTTGATGTGTGTCCAAGCTGAAGGTGAACTCAAACATCGACTATTGGTTGATAAAGTCTTGTTAAATATTCCAATTGGGTCCTGAGAAATTAAAACAGACCCCAGCCCTAATTGTTTTCACTACCTAATAGATAAAACATTTTCCTGTACCCCTTGCAATGCACTCAGACCACTATGGGTACGAGCGCCCATAGTGGTTGGGATTAGCTGATCTAGAGAACACCAAGAGTTATGCTAGGGTACTTTTTTAAAACTTTATATCAGCCTTTGATTCTGTCCAACCCCATGAACTCTTACTTAAAAATAGAGAAGAGTTAATCTGGGCTGCATGGTGTCAGTTTGTAGCACTATTGCCTTGCAGCAAGAAGGTTCTCTGGGTTTGACGCAGGCGTGGGTTTCCTCCAGCTTCTTCTAACAGTCCAAAAACATGACTGTTGTGCTAATTGGCACCTGTAAATAGTCCTTAGTTTTTGAGTATATGTTTGCATGGTTGTACGTCTTTGTTGCCCTGTGACAGACTGTTGACCTGTCCAGGGTGTATCCCACCTCTCGAACATATAGTGGCGGATATACGTAGGCACAGGCCCCACCGCTACCCCAGAGGAATAAACAGGAGAAGATTGATGGAGAGTTAACTCATTCATCATCAGATGGGTCCACTCATTCCTTGCTCTTAATATATCAGGTTGGACAAGACTGAGACTGATTCTCTTATGATCAGTACTGCTGTCCCTCAGGGGTGTTTCAGTTCACTTGTCTTGTTCACTGTATAAAATGACTGCATCTCTAATGCTCTCAGGAACTATGTCTCCAAGGTTTCTTACTGAAAAGAAATTACCTGTACCAACTACGGTACTAGTTTTTTCAATGAGGCAGACACCCTGTATACTTTAACGGCAAGGCTTAAAACTTTCCTTTTGGATAAAGCTTAAAGGAATAGTACACCCAAAACATGATTAGCCTTCATTTTCTACTCACCCCCATGCTGAACAACACTCTGGAGTACTTTTTTGATATCTCAAATGCATCTGGAGATCTGGGAGGCTTCTTGCTGTCTGCTGACATTCAAATAATGGAGGTCTATGGCGCCCGAGGCAGAAAGGTCCATAAAAGTCCACAAAAAACGTGTCAATATTCCTCCATACTGCTCGTCCAATGTATTCCAAGTGTCCTGAGTGGGTAGCATCCAGAATTTACTCGAAACAAAGTCATTTAGAATGTTTTTAGAGCATAAACAGTAGTGTATAGGATTTCCTGAAAGCGCACACCTGCGCGTTCACGATGCTACGGAAGCCGGCAGACCAAACCAGATGAAAGTGCGCATTCAGCGTCTGCTCTGCCGATAATGCAAGCGTAGAAGAAGAAATGTGCTGTTTACCTGTGCAAAGAAAGAAACAACGAAAGAAAAATGTCTGAGGACTTCAGTGTTGAGGAAGAGCATGAGTTCTTTGCCGAGCTGAATGCGCACTTTCATCTGGTTTGGTCTGCCGCGGTTCACGTAGCGTCGTGAACGCACTTTTTAGGAAATCCTATACACTACTGTTTATGCTCTAAAAACATTCTAAATGACTTCGTTTCGAGTAAATTCTGGATGCTACCCACTCAGGACACTTGGAATACATTGGACGAGCAGTATGGAGGAATATTGACACGTTTTTTGTGGACTTTTATGGACCTTTCTGCCTCGGGCGCCATAGACCTCCATTATTTGAATGTCAGCAGACAGCAAGAAGCCTCCCAGATCTCCAGATGCATTTGAGATATCAAAAAAGTACTCCAGGGTGTTGTTCAGCATGGGGGTGAGTAGAAAATGAAGGCTAATCATGTTTTGGGTGTACTATTCCTTTAATAGAGTGGATCAGGTTATCCTGAGCTATCTCTATAGTTATGCTGCTATAGGCTTAGTCTGCCGGAGGACATAGAGAGCTGCCTCATCATTCTGCCTCAGTCTATCTCCCTAACTTTATGCTATCTCTGCTTTTTGTCGTTACAGTAGCTTCCTGTTCTGTTCTTGTTTGGCTTTGACACAATCTGAGAGAGAAATAATAGGTGGACTGCTTTTTTCCCCTATATTTCCTTTTATCAAACACGTTTTTTTTTTCTTTTTTCAAAATATGTTCGTTTGCAGTAAAAGGGGGGAAAAATACTCATTTTAGATCTAAATTACAGACCAAAAAACTCCCACACCAACTTCCCAAGTGACTATCATGTCAGGAAGTTCCTGTTCTGAGTCGACAGCCAATCCCAGACTGACCATCTGGACCACCTGACAGGGATGATTCGTCCCTCAGGGGAACATATCTCCACTGCCCCATTGGGACATGCTTCACACACTCCATCAGATGCTTTGCGTTCACCTTCACCTCTATGAACTAATCAAAAGCCCACATGACATTTGGGAACTTTGCAGCAACCGTACTATTATCCAGTTCAGCATTACAGGAATATTATTGATGGTTATTTATTATTCACTTCACAGGTAGCCAAATCAGGATGGTTTATCTAGGTAAGCTGTGTCAACTAGTGATTTGAACAGTTTTTTTTAATTGCTGGATAGATGAGTGAATCCTTTTTTAGAGGATAATATGCTTCTTTAAAAGGCTATATGGGGATAAATAATTTTGCAAGACTTAGTTTAGTGAAGTGAGGTTACAAAGCAAAAAGAAAAGAAGAAACAAGCCGTTATTTTGACTTCTGAAGTTTTTATTTTGACCTTTCAACCGTTCTGTCCAAAACCAAACAACACAGCTAGAAAATCCTCGTCTTTAGAGCACCGAATACAGTAAAATAAATTAAACCGACACTAGCAGTCTGTGAAACCAGGTGAATGTAATCTGTCAGTCCAGGTTGTACCCTTGATAAGTTTTTAGTTTCTGAAAAACAGAAGCTCTGTCCCATCGATTGCCAGCTGATTTCACACTCTTGAGCATAGTTGGTGGTTTTTTAAAGGCTGCGATAAGATATTAAACACTCACAATTCATCGCTGTGAAGAGGCAGATATCAAAGCGTGTGACCCTTAGCACGATCCGATTCCTCGACGTACGTCACGTCTGATGCCAGGCAGGAGTTTAAACGGGAGCTCAGAGGAAGGAGGCCCTTCAGTCGCACCGAAACAACAAAAAAGGAGGTATTGTCTGAGTTCAGCATGCGAAAATTTAAGTTGAAGGCTTCTCTCAGAAGCTCTACTCGACACCAAGAACCTTCACAGACATTTCTTCAATGTACCGTTGGCTGATGATTGTAGTTTCTCTCTATTTTTAGATTTACATTATAAATGAACCGTTGCCATGGAGAACAGAATGAATGACAGGTCAGGCCACCTATCATGGCGAGTAATATTTAAATGAGATTAGCATTAATTAGGACAGATCCACAAATAATAAGTCCTGAAGTGTTACGTTTGGCCACTTGTACAACTCCCAGAACCGTTCTTTTCCGTCTCACTCCCCGCCATGCAAGTAACAAAATAAATACACCTTCTGTACAAATGACTAAACATAAAACCTGATACCAAACACACGTATGGAGCTGAAAAATAACCTAAATGAGTACATTAAATATTCTGGCTTTTCTTTTGCCTTCGTTGAGGTTTTCACGATGTGGATGACTTGAGGTACGCAATGAGGTCCTGGCGCTCTCCCTTCTTTTTGATGCCAGCAAAGATCATTTTGGTTCCAGGAATGTACTTCTTGGGGTTCTCCAGGTACTCCATGAGGGTGTCCTCGCCCCAGATGATACCTGAGAGGATGAACGTACAAATAAATTCACCTTTGCTGGCTGTCATTTGTTGTTTTTTGTGTGATTTAAATGGTGTTGTAGCTGACCTTTGCTCTTGTTAGCATCTGTGTAGGAGTAGCCGTCAGCCTGTCCGGTCTTGCGCCCGAACAGACCCCACAGGTTGGGGCCCACCTTGTGTTTGCCCCCCTGCTCCACGGTGTGGCATTGAGCACACTTCTGCACAAAAACCTTCTTTCCCTTGTCGACGTCACCCATGACGAGCTCTGGAAACAGAACAAAAGGAAAACAGTTAGCCGTCTATGAGTAAAAACAAACAGCAACGTCCATAATAATGACGCAGATCTGGAGGCTCTTGTCCTTTATTTCATAACACCCCCATCAGTGAAGGTCACTCCAGGTGAAACCTTCTTCCTGCTTTCCTAGCTGATCCCAAACAGATATACTGAACGCAGGATGCAGCAGCACTAAAGACATACCCAGGTTTAGCTCCTTTCCAGATGAAAAACAAAAAGGGTTGCCAGGTTTGAAAGGTAATTAAGGTCAGACCTAACAGCATAAAGCCAGGGAGGGACAGCTTTGGTGTTTAAGTTCTTAAGAGGTGAAGCCAACACTAATGAACTTAGCTAAAGGTGCTTTAATAATAGGTGCTCCTTTGGCTTCAGGTGTTTTGACTGGTAAGTAAAGCAGATTAGTTAACACGATATCACCCCCGATACTCAAATAAGGTTCATTTCAGGCAAAACCTCTTATATTCTTTCTTTAAGAGGTTTAACATTGAACTCCAACCCAAAAGGCTATAAAGTGACCCCTGATGATTCAGTAGCAGTGTCACATTTAAATTACATTTAATTACACAATCATACAACTGTTCATTACTATTAGTCATAGACCTTGGCTTTTAGGTTTATACTTTTAAAAAACATGAAATCTAAAATAAACGTGTCTAAACCAGGAGGTGAAGAGTAAAGATGATATAAACCGAGCAGATCCGGCCTGCCTGTAGACTGGGGAGGGGGGGTAATGTCGGTTATAAAGGCAGTCAAGGATGCTTCAATGTCGCTGAGCCTCAGCTCAATGCATTTTATTTAATAAGTTCTACGTTGGATCCAGGAGGCCGGCTGACTTTACCTAAATGATTTAACGTTGATGAATAAGAACTGATGCTCAAAATGAGGCAGGAGGGGTAGGTTAAGACAAGTTTGTACCTCTGCCCGCTTCTTTAAGCGTTTACGTGGTGTGTATTAGTGAATAATGCTGTTATAACATGTTTTCAAGTTCAATAGCATTTAGAAAAGGACCAAAGATTAATTTAGCCGCCAAAATTTTAGCATTTTTCGTTATAAACGACTTGCGTTACTTAACCGTTACATAGTACGCAAATAGAGCAAGTGAGCTATTCATCATGGAAGCTAAGCGTAGCGGCACGATATGTCCTTAAATTTCCCCCGCTGCCTTCTAAACGTTATTCTTTTACAAAGCTCTTCACTAGTTTGAGTATTTAAGATGCAATGGTTCAATAAAAGGAATTAAAATTACCTTTCGGCTAAAACGTGTCGCTGGAAAACCTCTAGGACAGAGAACAGATGCAACTCCTTCCGCTGAGCAGCCTTTAGTGGCGAACGACGAAGGTCACTCTGCTTTAGAGGCACCGGCTTTTTACGTCATTGCGTAACACGTCAATTGCTCAGAATTTACGCCACGTTCGTGCTTCGTTCAAAGACAGCTAGGAATATTGATGTTTCACGATCACACCTTCCCTGATTTTCGAAATATTAATTTCACCCGGTGAAAAACTACAATAAAACAACCTATGTGTGTTAATTAGGAAATATATGCCTCTTTTTGTGATAACTCGTCAGAAGAAATGGATATTTTTCATTTAAAAACGGATGTAAGAATAGTTGAGAACACATGGGTAAATCTCAGCCTGCCGGACAGTTAAGGCGTCTGAAATGTGTCCTCCAAATGACTAAATAACACATTATTTAATTTAAATCAGTTATAGGCATCTGAAGAATAGGTCCAAGTTACAAAATTCAGAAATAAGAATATATTTGATTTTAAAATTGTGTTTGATGGTTTGAGTTTCATTGTTAAAGCTGGCAGATCCAGGCAACCTTAAACTCATAGCCTAAATGTAAGTTTAAACACAATATATTACCATTTTAAAATATTATAACAACATACCTTGATATTGAGACTGGATGTTAAACTGAAACGGGTTCAAATATTTAGTTTCAATATCCAGAAGATTGCTTGAGTCCAAATTTCAAGTAAGAAAGGTTTAATCAACATTTTGTGTCCATACATCATTAGTTTGCCCCTTTTTCTTCCATTCCATTAACCTAATCATCAGTAAGTGTCCCTGGAATAAAACCCTCTTAATTTGATAAAATTGTGGAGACAAACCATTGAAAAAATATTCAAATCTCATGCAGATTTATTTATAAATCTTAATGTAAATTTAATAGAATACATTGTCTGAATAAATAACAAAATCAAACTAATACAATTAACTTGCAAAAAGTGCAAAAATATTATACTTAATGAAATATAGACTTGTTATATGTATAATTTAGTGGTTATGTCTGAAAATGTATGTGAAGAAGTGCAACTTATATAATTAAACCCTTTACCTATACCGTCCATAACACCAACAAAATCCCCAATTCGTATTTAACTTAAGTCCAGACTGCTCAAAAAAGTCCTTTAAGTAAACAAACAAGTACGTTTATGTAGAAATAATCATACGCAAACATTCACATTTCACTTCATTCATACAATTAGTAATCATAGCCCACAACACCACAACGACTGCCAATATATATATATATATATATATATATATATATATATATATATATATATATATATATATATATATATATATATATATATATATATATATATATATATATATATATATATATATATATGAGACACATGTTGCTGCCGTTCTGTGACTTAATTCACTCTCATCTGGATCATTTTACCCTCTGAAAAAAGGTTTAATAAAGATAAGCATAATTCTTTTCATCAATTTAGAGCCAATATAACTTGTTGTTCTTTGTTAAACAAATGTTCACATGCTGGAATGACTCTGGTTCATTTTCCTCCTTTGTTTCCAATTCCTTTCCTGAAACAATTTTTTTTTATCGACAAAAAAGTTTTTTTTTTATGCTAACCATTTTGTCCTGATGTAGAGAACATGTTTATTAATGTTTTAAACATTTTTAAACAAATCTGTTCTTCCTGAATAAGCAGAAGTTATAAGATATGAACATGTGTGGATGTAATCCCAGGCAGCAGCCTGGTAGCATGTTACCAAAGTTACCAGCATGCTGTTAAGGCAGGATCATTTCATTTGATTTTAAATGAAGACGGACAGTAAACTTTATTCCACTTGGGCAGATCTGCAGTCAGTTTGGCCGTCTGTAAACATATTTTTACTAAATCCCTGCCTTACTTAACTGATCGGAGCTTAGGTTTAAATACCATCTAATCTGTCCAAGCAGTAAATACTCTCCTGTTCTACAAAATAAAATAAAAAAGATCCAAGAGCATGATGACACCATTAGGGGCTGGTTATTTTAAATACAAATAAAATGCATTTTGTTTTTTTTATCGGTATCTATCTCATTACTGCTTAAAAGTGCAAATTAAAACCTTTCAACAAAAAGACCCATTAAAAACTGTTAGAAAAAAGGAAAAATGAAGGAATTCTTTTCCATTTCATAAATATCTATTGTAAAAATCCAAATATTCTTCACACCTTTAAAAGCAACATACGTTATTAAAGTGTTTAATAACAGTAAATAGCTTGGACATGTCTCAGCCCATCTTTTTATTTTAATGTTTGTTTTTACTATCCCACAAAGTTCTTGGTTTTAAATGTTTACATGGTTTTCTATTTATGATATAGCCGTACATTCTGTATTTACATTCATTCATTTTCAATAATGATGCTTTTATTAGTTATCCCCTGATACTTTTAGATGTCAGTGAAAGAAAATCGAATAACTAACTGTTAGTTTTATTTCCAACATTTTTTTTTATTTGTTAAAAAACTATATAAACATATCAATTATTATAGATATTTTGGTCTGTTTGATTTAATCGTGTTTTCTGACTCAGAATTTAGAAATATTCTATTTTATTTAAAACATGTTTGTTGTTTGATGGATTTCAGAAATTAGAAATAAGAATAGCTGTAAATGTATGTTTTACAGCCTTACTCTGAAATAATCTATGCATGCTTTATTTTTTCTTATTATAACTTAAACAAATCCACATCTGCCTTGTTATGCCAGGAATCACCTTTTCTAAAATGCTTTGTGATCCAATCAGTCCGACTATGTGACAATTACCTCAAATGATTTTTATTTAAGGTTTAAAGACAGTTAGATGATAAAGTAAAAGAGACACAAAAACAACAGCAATGAATGTCAGCGCATTTGGAAACTTTTGCTCTGCCTGTGAAATGCTAATCCTCTTTAGTTAAGCCACTTTTAAAAAACCAGGGCTGGAAGTAAAAATAAGAAAAGAGCTGTTGAACCCTAATGTTTAAAAACGGAGAACTCTGTGCAAGCAGTGAAGAACAGTTTATTAGAAATAAAACCTGACTCAGATTTAAAGTAAAACCATTGACTATGACAGTCACAGTCATAGTGCTCTGCAATATTCTAAATGCACCTTCAGCAAACTATTCAGCTAAATTGAAGAATTCCCAACTCTTCAGTTTTCTTGAACTAGCAGACAAGTATGGCATCTTATGGGTTCATCTAAACAGTTTTTGTCTCTGATCTTCTGTTTCATCTGGCATGGCTCCAAAGTGTGGAGCAAAGTGAAGAGTTTATCTGTCCTCTGGCTTCAGGCTTCCAAAGCTCTAAAACAGGATCTTAACTCAAACCCTTCCTCTTTGATGGACTTTTAGGATCAAGCAGTCGCTGGCTGTTCGTTGCTCAGTCCTCACCGATCTGGATGCCAGAAAGCACATATGTTCAGACGCTCCAGTTCAACATTTACCTTAATCCTCATCTGTACCTCAATTCTGGTCATTAGGGGATTAGAAACAACTTCTAGGTTTGATATGAACATCCAACAAACTAGCTTGAAAAAGTTTAGTTTAGGCAACTGGATGTAAAGTTTTCTATTAGAATTTTCACCATCCATCCATCCATCCGTCCATCCATCCATCCATCCATCCATCCATCCATCCATCCATCCATCCATCCATCCATCCATCCATCCATCCATCCATCCATCCATCCATCCATCCATCCATCCATCCATCCATCCATCCATCTCTTTATCAAAGCTTTGTCTTTATTGAAATGGAGCAGATGTAAGAGCCATGGCAACCACAGTGTTTAGTTTTCAGGTGAAGAAGGACTGGACACCTGGTATCCCTCAACCTTCTTGGTTTTCCTTCCCATGATGCCCTGGGTCGTTGGCTCTGATTGAGGTGAGTACGCTTTGTTTATATATAATGTTTATGGTTCTAATCTTTTGATATTTGATGTTTTGATTAAGCAACAATGCACTGAACAATAAATATTGTCACTGAAATTTTCACTGCTGTAATATACACGCTACCTACTGCAGGTAACAATATATAATTAAGGTTTATTTTGGAAAAAAATATTTATAGATGTGCTTTTTCATGCCTGAATTCGTTTTTTCTTTTCATGCTATTTACCTGATTTTAAATAAAAGTCTTTAACATCACAGAGTGGGCTCATAAGTCTACATATATATATATATATATATATATATATATATATATATATATATATATATATATATATATATATATATATATATATATATATATATATATATATATATATATATATATATATTTATATATAATTTTTTATTCTGTATCATCCTATATGATTAAATAATTGCTTGGTTTTGTGTATGCTTTTAACCACTTTTTTTACTCTTACTTGAGTAATTTTCAGGTTGCCTATAATTTACTTTTACTTAGGTTTTACTTGTAAATCATGTAGAAGTCGTGCTACTCTTAGGTACAACTTTTGGCAACAGCGCGCATCGAGGGTCACTAAAATTAGTGTTGCTTAGGTGTCAAAAGAATGTTGGAATGTTGGACTTCGTTATTTTCTCTAGTCCCTCGGCAATCTTTTGGAGTAAAGCCTGGTCTGATTCACAGAGACGGCATCCATCCCACTTTGGATGGTGCAGCTCTTTCTAGGAATCTGGCCACAATTATTAGTCCTCCAAAACTCTGACCACCCAGGGTGCAGACCAGGAAGCAGAGTTGTAGTTTAACACACCTCTCTGCAGCTTCTCTACTGTTACCCACTCTTTACTCCATCCAGACAGTGTCTTGCCCACGACCAAAATCAAAGAATCCTAAAGGGGTAAATAATCATGATCTAATCAAAATAGAAATAACTTCAAAAGTGAACACTATTTAATGTGGCTCATTTACCATAAGATCTCTTTATTCTAAAAGTCTGCTAGTTAATGACTTGATTTTTGATAATCACATTTATTTATGTTGCCTTACAGAAACCCGGCTGCAGGTTTGTTGGAATTAAAGGAACAGCACTAGACTGGTTTAAATCTTATTTATCTGATCGATTTCAGTTTGTTCACAATAATGATAAATCTCCCTCATGCTCAAAGGTTACCTGTGGAGTACCACAGGGATCAGTGCTAGGACCAATTCCTCTTATTATATATATGCTCCCAATCGGTAGAATTGCATGGGATTAATTTCCACTGTTATGCTGATGATACCCAGCTATATCTGTCTATAAATCCAGATGAAGCTAACCCATTACATAGATTACAGGCATGTCTTGAAGACATAAAAACCTGGATGACTCTTAACTTTCTGCTTCTGAATGCAGACAAAACAGAAGTTATAGTCTTTGGACCAGAGTCTTTGAAAAAGAAGCTGATTAGCCAGTCACTTCATTTGGATGGGATTAAACTGATTTCAGATAATAAAGTAAAAAATCTTGGTGTTGTTTTTGATCAGGACCTGTCATTTAGGTCCCATATCAAGGAGGTTTCTAGAATTTCCTTCTTTCATCTGAGGAACATTGCAAAAATTAGAAATATCCTGTCCAGGGGTGATGCTGAGAAACTAGTCCATGCATTTGTTACTTCAAGGCTGGACTATTGTAATTCTTTACTATCAGGAAGTCCACAAACTGTAGTTAAAAGCCTTCAGCTGATCCAAAATGCTGCAGCCAGAGTTCTAATGAAAATTAAAAAGAGAGATCATATCTCGCCTATCCTGGCTTCTCTTCATTGGCTTCCTGTTAAATCAAGAATAGAATTTAAAATCCTCCTTCTCACATATAAAGCCTTAAATGGCCAAGCTCCATCTTATATCAGAGATCTGATTGTTCCTTATGTTCCTAACAGAGCACTTCGCTCTCAATCTGCAGGTTTACTAGTGGATCCTAGAATTTCTAAAAGTAGAATGGGAGGCAGATCTTTTAGTTATCAGGCTCCTCTCCTGTGGAACCAACTACCAGTTTTAGTCCGTGAGGCAGACACCCTGTCTACTTTTAAGGCTAGGCTTAAAACTTTCCTTTTTGATAACGCTTATAGTTAGAGTGGCTCAGGTTATCCTAAGCTATCTCTATAGTTATGCTGCTATAGGCTTAGATTGCTGGAGGACATAGGGACCCCCATTTCATCATTCTGCTTCATTCTCTCTCTGTTCTCCTATTCTGCAGAATCTGTTAGTTCAATCTCTAACGTTCTGCTCTCTCTGCTTTTTCTCATAGTAGGCTGTGACTCCATCCTGGAGAGAAATATCAGCTGTGCTGCTTGTAGATGTTGGAGCTTGGCTCTGTTTTCCAGTGTAGTCCTGTTTCTCTGACCGTGACTGGCTGGATGTGCTCTCTTCATCCTCTGACATGGGAGCTGGCTCCGAGCTCGTCTGCCTGGCTGTGTGTTTCCTGGATGGGGCTGCCTTTTACAGCTGCTTTTTGTATCTCTGCTTCTGTCTCCTTGAACCCCAGTCGGCAATATCTGGTTCGATCCCCACAGTCTCTCAGCAAGACCCTTAACCTCACACTGCTCCTACAATGCATCACACAATGGTAGCCCACTGCTCCCCAAGGGGATGGGTTAAATACAGAGATAAATTTCTCCTGTGTGAGATAAATAAAAGTTAAATTATCAATTATCCCTGCACTTATTAAATCTGATCCTGACAGATGTCTTAGACTATGGATAGTACTTTCACTGCAGAAAAGAACTTCAGCACATACCCTCCCTCTGCTGGTGGGAGTAGAGGATAAAAACAGGATAGAAATAAGCAGCACCTGCAGTAGACGCTACAATGCTTGGTGTGAGGGATGCTTTTGACTTTATCAGTTGATGCAATCAGCTAGTTTTCCTTAGAAATAAATCCAACTGTATGATCCGCTTGAACTGTTTCCATAAAATGCCCTGAGATGACATGGGTTCTGAACTGGCACTACATAAATAAACTGAATTGAACTGAATTACTTGACACAGATTGGAACATCACTTTGGATGCATATCGTCCCTCTCATTAAGACACCCCATACTGCTACTTCACCGAATCCCACATAGTACTAGTTAGTCGTTGTTTGAGTTTTGTTTTTGTTTTGTTCTTTTTATTTTACTTTTAATTTCTGGTCTAGTTTTAGAAAATAAAAACGAACCATGTAAAATTGGGTGTAATTCTCCATTGTGTCGGTAGATGGCACTACATCCTCAAACACAAAATGGTTCAAAAAATTTTTTTCCCAGACTGGTTGATGGATGCAACAAAATGGCAAGTCAGGTAGATGAGGATGAGGAAGAATGAATGGGAAAGAGAGAGATGGAGGCTGTAAATGCTAGTTTGAGAATCAAGGAAATAAATGGGAATTAGAAGGAAGATGTTCAGCTGAAGTAAGAGTTGTGTGAAGGAAGGTTGTAAGAGAATAAATAAAAATGATATTTAGTTTCAGTGCTGAAAAAAAAACCCAGTCATTTGAACCCCATTTTGACTTCCAGAGAAATAAAAAAGAAAATTAAGGCAGTTGAAATAGTGAAGAAATTGAGAGATGGAAACTTGCTGGTAATTTGCAAAAATGAGGCGCAAAAAAAAAGCATGGATGTTGAACATATGGGGGAAAAAAGAGGTCATAGGGGTTAAATTCATAGGAGTAAATATAACAGTGAAAGGAGTAATAACAGGAATACCAATTAATGAGTATTTAGATTGATTAAAGATAAACATTTTAGAGGTAAGGTTAACAAAACACAGAGACTTTATAAAAACATACAAGGGAAAATTGAAAAACGCATAAGAGGAGTTAAAGGACAGGAGAAATTAATCAAGCTCAGAATCAGGTTCAAAAGCAAAATAAAGTAGAAAGAGATTAACTTCACTCAGACACTTGAGGATCTCATTTTATTCGCAGCATTTGTAATTAACTGTACAGACCAAGCCCAGAATAAGAGAGAATATCAGAATCTTTGCGAGAGGAGCTGAAAACTTTTTAGGACTCATAAAAAGGTTGAAGATGGATGGAAGAACAGGAGCATCTGGTATCTGTTCAGGTGTCCATCATACAAAATAATTCAAGATGTCTGATAGTAAATGGATAGTTATTTAATGAATAGGTTTGAAAATGTAATAAAATGTATATATAAAAGGGACCGTAGGAGATTTTAGTTAATTACATAAAGAATTAAACATAAAAGTTTAGGATATTGTTAATTATTAAGTAGTATTAATATCAGATAAATTAAAGATGGAGGATTTTAAACCACATAAATATATTGGCTAGAGTAATTAATTTTGTTCAACAATCCATACCGGTAGGTGGCGGTAATGCGCCGCGGTTAAACATCACGAAGAAGAAGGAGAGCGAACTCATCTAAAACCGTAAATTTTAAATCTTTTTTTTTTAATCGATATAATAATGATATGTATTCTATTTCATTTTAGTTCCCCTCTTAGATTAAAGTGTATTTCAAAAACTGCATTTATTCTGCATTTAAAGCATTTATTTATTTATTTTTTCTGAGGGGGACTCTAACGCGGAGGAACGTTGGTCGTTTGGTGCATGGCGCGTGTTTTGAAGCTGCTCTGCTTGTGGAGAAATGTCCTGGGCCGTGAGTAGTGAGGAAACAGGAAGCGATTCTTGTGGGATGGAAGAGGGAAATAGTGACAATGAAGGTTGGAAGATAGCAGCATCAAAAAATGAGAAAAAGCGGAAAAAACAGAGATCAGTTAAAGGGGAATCTAGTTCAGAACAATCCAGTGATGATCAATCCATACATTCCACAGCACAACAAAATGAATTCAAAGTCATATTCAAAGTCGTTAATCAGGCAGACTCTTTTACAAACTGGAATCCGGTTCACTTAACAAAAACCATCAATAAACTTGTTGGAGAAGTCAGAGGTGCCAGAATTCTGTACAGTGGAGACCTGCTAATTAACTGCAGAGACAGCGCCCAGCAAGGCAAAGCAATACGTATTAACAAAATTGACGGGATAAGAGTTCAGTGCAGCCTAATGGAGAACAAAAAGATCAGCAGGGGAGTCATTGGAGGAGTTCCTCTGAAAATTTCTGAAAAAGAGATTCTGGAAAACATAAGCGGTGCAAAAGTAAAAGAAGTAAAACGGTTAAAAACAACAAGAAACGGAGAAAGATCTGACAGTTTATCTGTACTAATTAAATTCGAGGAAGAGCAATTACCAAGCAAAGTATTCATCGGTTACATCAGTTACAATGTCAAAATCTACAATCCACCACCATTGAGATGTTTCAAATGTCAAAAATTCGGACACATTGCAGCAGTTTGTAAAGGGAAACAGAGGTGTGGAAGGTGTGCAGGAGAACATGAATATGGTAAATGTGGAAAAGAAGCTAAAATAAAATGCTGTAATTGTGGTGGAGAACATACTGCTGCTTATCGCGGCTGTGAAGCAAGCAAAAGGTCTGAAGAAATAAAAAAAATGAAATTTGAGCTTGGAATAACTTATGCTGAAGCTGCAAAAAGGATCCCATCTCAGTCAGAAAAACCCAAACCTACAGTTCAACACACGGCAAATTTCAAACCTCTAGAGAAATCTCCAAAAATTGATGAAGACTCACTAATTGTTAAAAAGACAAATTTTGTTCTTTTCATGGTGGAAGTGATTAATTGTACTGCTCAGACGACAAAAAAAACAGAAAAAATCAAAATAATAGTGAAGGCTGCAGAAAAATATCTGGATGTTAAAGATATGAACTGGGAGATGGTTGGAAGCATGATGGAAAGACCAATGGGACCATCAGAAACTGGCAGAGGTACGATGACCTAGAGTAAATTAAAATTATACGGGCAAATGTAATTTAGTATAATTTAGTATTATGTGGGTTTAAGTTACACAGGTTATTTTATTGTATTTTTTTTTTTTTTTTTTTTTTTTTTTTTTGGGGGGGGTGAATCGTTTCCTGTTTCCTTGCTTTACTCCATATCAGTTGGTGGCGGTAATGCACATTTCACAAGTTTGCCAACCGCCATAAAATCTCATAAGAAGAAGAAGAAGGGACTCTAACGCATCACCGCCGATTGTAGAGAAACAGCCAAGATGGAGGACAGCTCTTCAAAACACATGCCCGAAAACCTGGACGACCCCCCGAACAGCCGTTTGTTCGTGGTCACCAGTCGGTGTGTAACAGAAGATGACCTCCGGGAGAGGTTCAACAAATATGGGGACATTCAGGGCATCTGGCTGCTTAAGGACAAGCAGACAAAGGAGCCCAAAGGCGTCTCCTATGTGAAGTACGCCAAATCTTCCCAGGCCTGCATGGCCATGGAGGATATGCACGGAAAGGTGCTGCTGGAGGGGACCAAACCGATAAAGGTAGATTTGCTGAGGGCAGAAATAAAGTTACATTTCCCGTCATTTCAATTCAATCTGTACTAGCTAACATGCTACTGTAGCTAACGACACTGAAGCTGGCTTCTGATTGAGTCCCGATGAAAGGCCCCCAGAACTCAGGAGTGATCCCTGATAAAATGGCTTTATTAAAAAGAAAATATATAAAAATATATGTAAAAAAACTTTTTTTATTATTTAAATATTTCTGTATATATATATATATATATATATATATATATATATATATATATATATATATATATATATTTAATTTTCGTTTCATTCAACGTGTTCTTTAATTGCATCAATATAGGAACAAAATTGACTCCATATGTTTTTCCTTTACTGCTTTCTGATATCTGAAGCTAACAATCAGAAACCAACTTCAGCTCCACAGAGGGATTCATTAAATAAATCCTTATATTTCTGTTCTGTGTTTGACTAATGGATCGATGACAGCAGCCATAAGTCATGATGTTATGTTTTAGGTCCCTGAGTTTGTTATATCAGTTTGTTACATGCATTTCCACCCTCCTTCTTGTAGGTGTTTATTGCACAGTCGAGGTCGTCAGCGAAGCACAGAGACGTTGAGGATGAAGAGCTGACCAGGATCTTCGTCATGATCCCCAAAACCTTCACAGAGGAGGACCTCAAAAACACCTTCAGAGTAACTGCTCACTAACGTTTCTTACTCTAATGATGGTGTTAGTTGTCTGTCCTGCTGTTTTAAATCCAGCTTTTACTATTAAATGAAAGATCAGCTGAAAGAAAAATGACTGAAAGCTCACTGAGTTTGGAAACCACCAGAACCTTTACTTCTTCCCAAAAGATTAAATGGGGTCTTATAAAAGTGAGTGTTACTTCAAAAGTTCCTCACGTTGTGAAAGGAAAAAGAGAAGTAAAAGATTTCAAACCTTTTTTTTTTGTAAATTTGATGATTATAACTTGCAGATAACAAAAACTCCAAATTCAGTTTATTTGTGAGTTAAACGTATATTTGAGAAAATTAAAGGTATACTATGCAACCGGTGTTGATTTTCCAGTGAGGCTCCCTCCAGAGGGCGAAAGTAAAAGTGCACTGTCGTAAATAAGCACAGCTGTTCTCCTGGTTTCTCCGTCAAGCCAGGCGCGGTTGTTTTGAGCTTAGCAGACAGGCGAACGCAACGAATGACTAATGCTGCGTTCACACCGGGGGCAGCTGGCGCGACAGAAGCAGCGAGTTTACATGCAAAGTCAATGGTTGACGCGCGTCAAGACGCAGCAAAAGGTCCCGCGGCGCGTTTTGAGCTGCAGAGGCAGCGCGTCTGAGCAGCTGAAGCAGCGCGTCGGGTGCGTTTAACGCAGGGAGAGAGACACAGCGCTGATGATCAGTCCTCTTAAACAGTTTATTGACGCCTAAATTAACTTAAAATGCAGAAATCTGCCGGCAGAATATGCAGTTTGGATTATTTAGAGGAAAAACACCTACCAGCTGCCGCGGTGAACTGCTGCTGATGAAGGGATCCATACCGTTGGCGCACCACTGGTATGTGGGGGTCTGAGCGGCTCCGACAGAAAAAATATTGAAGGCAGGATAATAATCTGAATGAACTGACTGCACTGATTACGTTTTCAGGTGTATTTTCTCACTTAAACACATATTAAAACTACTTTATTCCCACTGATCACAGCAAATATAGCTGCAAGGCAGAGAAAGGATAGTGAAGCTCCGCCCAACGCGCCTCAGACACACTTTTGCACCGCGCAGCCAGAGCAGCAAAGCTGCTTCAGCCGCGCGTCAGAACTAAACTGGTACAAGCAGTAAAAATGAAGCAGCAGACGCGATTTTGCTGCTTTTGCTGCGTGAACGTAGCATAACTGCACAAAGATTGCCACTGTGCTAGCAACGAGAATGCTTTTAACTGGGGGGTGTAGCAGTTCTCGCCGTAAAGCAAGACTGACTCTCATGAGACTTCTGAGCCTGTGGGTGCGGGTCGGTGCTCCTGCAGTTGCAAGTGCAGTATTTCCCCCACAGACCACCAGGGCGGCCGAGAATACCTTTGTTCAACCTGAAATGACTCATTTAATCATCCATAACGATATGGAACACATTAATTAACTGAAAAATGTTGCATAGTGTGCCTTTAAGTGGAAGGAAAAAAGATGAACTAAACTCTTGCCCTGAATGACGAACAATATCCATTATTTGTCATCTCTAACCATAACAATAATAGCTGGACAGTAAATGATCCCAGAAATTATAGAGCTAAACAATTTTTATTTATTTTATTTATGTGTTTATTTGAACAGGGACAGTGCACATTAATAAACATTTCTGTAAACGAGCCAGTGTTAGCTAAGTAGCTAATTTTCAACTGTAGTCCCTGGGCAAGGTTTAAAATGCCAACATAATAAAAACAACAACATTAAAAATTAGTGCAAACAATAAAATACATAGTTAGTAATCTACATAAAAGTTGGACATTGATCTGTAAAAAAAACAAAGACGTTATTATAAATATAAGATTTAAAAAACATTGATAAAAGTGCATCAGACAGGCAGACAGAAGTTATTGATTATGATTACAGGTTTGATTCTCCTGTAACCATGCTTTTAACATGTTTTTGAAAGTTCTGTATGTGTCTGCATTGCGTATATGAGTTGGAATGGTGTTCCAGGACTGAGCTGCTCGCACTGAGAAGGCTGACTGACCAAATGAGCATTTTCTCAGTGGGACTGTAAGGTTATTAGAAGAGACAGATCTGGTGAGTCTGCTACCTTGTGTGAAAAAAGCAGTAAGTGGTGGTGGACCAAAGCCATGTAAAATTTTAAAGACCAGATTTGCATCATGAAATGTAACTAAATTTTCCCAGTTTAACAGGACATGTTTGTCCAGTATACTACAATGATGGACACGAAAGGGTTTCCTGTCCAAAACCTTTAGAGCCTGCTTGTAGACAGACTGGATTGGTTTTAATGTTGTTTTACAGCCCTGTGACCAGCTGCTAAGACAGTATGTTAAATGAGGCATAATCATTGCATTAAAAAACAATTTTGCTGCATCTGTGTTCAGATTATTTCTTATGTATCTGAAGTTTACAAGGTTGAGTTTGACTGTTTGAGTGACTTTCTTTACATGTTTTTTAAATGTGAAACTTGAATCCAGAATGAGTCCAAGATATTTATACTCTGACACTACTGTGATGGACTGGCCTGCAACAAACACATCTGGGTCTGAGCAGTTTGATACTCTTTTTGTAAAGAACATAGATACAGTTTTTGTAACATTTAAATGTAAGCATGAATTGTGGAGCCATTTTGATACATGTAGCATGGTTTCAGAGAGTTTTTTGGCTACTTCTTCCTTGGTCTTACCATGTACATAAATTACAGTATCGTCTGCATACATTTGTATCTCACATCCTTTGCACACAGAGGGTAAGTCATTTATATACAAACAGAACAGAAGAGGGGCCAGTATTGATCCTTGCGGCAGGCCCACATTATTTCTCATGTAAGATGACTGTTCATTATTGACTCTAACAGCTTGTGATCTGTTTTGTAAATATGATTTGATCCAATTTATAGCATCAGGAGAGAAATTAAAGAGTGTTAATTTTGTGAGGAGAACATCGTGGCTGATGGTGTCAAACGCCTTTTTCAAGTCCAGGAATACAGCTCCAACTACTCCCCCCTTGTCCATTTTAGTTTTTACAGTTTCAATAAAGTAACAGGTAGCAGTTTCCGTGGAATGATTGGCACGAAAGCCAAACTGCATAGGATGTAGCTTAAATGAAGAACTGTTCAGGTGTGACATTAGTTGATCTGCTACACACCTCTCCGCAATCTTTGACACTACAGGGAGGATGCTGATTGGCCTGTAGTTTGCCACCTCATTTGAATCTCCTGATTTGAAGACTGGCGTCACAATAGCTGATTTCCATACTGCTGGATATAATGCTTGTTCGAAGGATGAATTTATCATGTTTGTAATAGGGTTCGATAGAGTCTCTTTGTGTTTTTTCAACAGTAGTGAGTCCTGTTTGAAAGCGTCTTTTGATTTGGAATTTTTAAGACAGTCTATGATTTTATTTACTTGGGATTGAGAAACCTTATTAATAAAAAATACTGGTAGAGTTGTATCTAATGGCTCGATGTTGACTGAGTCTGCAGGTGGACTATGAGTTAGTGACTTGACAGAGTCTATGAAGTACTCATTGAAAGCAGTAGCGGTTTGAAACGGGTCTTGTGTCATGTGACCATTTATGTGCAGCTGTATTTTTTTATCTGACCTCTTATAATCTGTTCCCATTAATTTTCTCAGCTGATTCCATATTTCTTTGCAATTTCCCTTTCCTTCATGGATTTTGTTTATAAAAAGAGATGCCTTGGATTGCCTCAGTTCTTTTGTTACTCTATTTCTAAGGGTTGTATACTTGCGCTTACCCTGTGGGTTGGAGAATTTGGGCAGACTTTAGGCGTCTCATTCAGAGGTAGGTGAAGGGGGTCTGATCCGCTGTAGAATAAGTCACGTGACCCAGAGCGGCTGGTCCCGCACCAGTGTGTGGCAGGGAATTTGTCACAGATATATTTGGTTGATGCCCAATATTGAAGCGTGGTCTGCGCTATGTTATTCCACGCCACAATGCAAGAGGGCCAATCAGGAACTAGCTGTGGGTCTAGATACGGCCGAGGCGGTGAGGAAGTGGGGGCAAGTTTGTGCGACAACGGAGGGACATGAGGGCCAAAAAGAGCGGGGATCCAAGTGGAAAAATGGTCCCAGCGTTCTCACGCACCTCGCTCTTCATGAGGCGTTTTCCACAATGGCGGTCATACAAACAAAACAAGCCGGTAAGGTACCAAACAGGAAATACGCATAGAGTAGAGCGGATGTAGATTTGACCAATCGGAGGCCTTAAGGCCATAAGTTTCCCTTGTCATCTCAAATGAAGTGGACGCACTAGTATTACAAACAGAAGCGATCGTTTTAAATTTAACTTTAGGCTTTCTGTAATATGGCGAAACCAGAGCAGCTGGTAAAAAGCCACAGTTCCCAATTGAAGCTCCCAGCATTTCTAGGATGAGAGGGGTCTACGCCCCCAAAAAGGGAAAACATCTGTAATCAAGTTAGAGACATTTTATTGATTATTTGAGGAGCACCAAAAGGAGAGCCACAAATTACAGATGAAACTAAGGGAATTTATTTTTATTTGGGGAAACGGGATCACTCGGAGAAAACCCAAAAAACTGCATTTAAACTGAGGGATGTTTCTGAAAAATGGGGGAACCGGAACACCTGGTTATAAGGCAGGAACCTCAAACTAAATTAAGGGTCTGGACTAAGAGGGAAATCAGAACAGCTGGACAAATCAATCTGTAATTATTGTGAAATTCCTGCAGTTGTTATCATTTTCTTAGGAAGTCTGCAGCTGTTCTCTGGTTATATTTGAGTGTCTTCTTTCGACACCCACTGATGATGCACAGCTCCTCTATGGTGGGGCGCTTCTCTGGTTCTACTGCCAGGCATCTTGGAGAGGCTTTGGTTGATCTTTAGCTCATTTGGCAGGAATCTCCTGGTATGGAACAGAATCTCATACAGGACCAAACCCACCTGCCACAGTTGTGGGTCCAGAACTGAAGATCCCTTTTCTTCTGACGGGGGGTCGGACCAAGTACCATAGTAACTTAGAGCAAAGTCTGTGAGATAAAGTTTTGGGACTTCTGACCTGGTCTCTATCAGGATGTTCTGTGGAAAATATTTGCCTCCTGAAGGTGAATTACTGCTTTTAGCAGCTGTTTTATCGTGATATTAGCATTCTTCCTCGTTATGCAACCCTTGTTGTTTTGAATGTATTTAAACAGGTCGTCAGCCTGCATGGGTCTCTCCATAACTACAATCACCTCCTCATCCAGATTATACCAGTCTAGGGTGGACAGTATGGCTGACCTAGTTGTTTTAACATGATAGCCTCCTCCTTTCCTTTCTCATCCTGATGTATTAGCATCTCATTGTTTTTTGGGATGTGTTTAATGGCTACAGGTCATTCATCATAGACCCGATAACCAGCAAAAACCAATCCATAGCCTCCTTGTCCAAGCTTTCTTAGATCAACATGTTTTTCCAAAATTTGGCTCTATCCTCATTGTTATTCTCTGTCTTTAATCTCTTTTCGGCTGGCAGTGGTCCTCCTTGTTCAAAAATGTTCCTCTTTTCTTTTCTCACTGTCCTCATCTGGTCCTGGCAGCTTGTGGAAGGTCGTCCCTCCTCAGAGACCATAAACCTCTTTCTGGGGGTCTCATCTGTAAAGCTGTTTTTTTGTTTCCTTAGACTTTCTGATGTCATTCTGCTCTTCTTTTGATATTCCACTGGACTAGAGATTTTAATGAAGAAATGAAAAAAAAAACAATAAATAAAAAATGAGAATGTGTTTAAAAGACAGAGAAACAGAAACGGCACTAGAGCTACAAAGGAGAAGAAGATGGTGAAGCAGAAATTTGCTGCTCCGATAAATGCTTAAGTTTATATGAAGTGGGCTATGCCAGGCTGTTTTTACATTTATTAAAAGCACTCTCCTCTCTGTTGTTCCATTTTTAGATAACTAAAATTAGATTCTTCCTCATCAAAATAAAACTCTTATCCCTGGCTGTAACCTAACTGTAATAATATATTTTCTAAATGACATTTTTGTGGCAGGAACTGAATTTTAGAAAGTAAAAAAAAAGTGTGCTAGTTAGAATGAGGTTTATATATCTACAAATGTTTAAACATTTTAAGTGGACGTTTTGCCATTTATCAGCTTGACTGAATATGTATTTATGATTTCTGAAAAACATTCTTTCATAGTTAAAATAATACAAATGCTGACAAGTAATATTAGGAATATTGAGATCTGACTGATTTACAGACATCTAGAATGTTTATTCTAGATGTAGAGAATGTCATTTAGTTTGAAATGCTCATTTAGACAAAGAAAAAGTTTTCAGATATTAGGAATACATATTCAGTTAAACTATTAAATATCAAATCGGCTTGCCATACTCTAGTGTGACTGCCATATTATTACTAGATTGTTTCTGGAATGGTAGTAGATTAATGTATCTATTTAATGAAATCTAATCTATTTGGGTGAAAATGAAGTCTAAAAATGTTGTTCTAATATATAGAACCTGTGCGTCGTCTCATGCATTCCTCCTCATGTTAATTTAGTCCTCTTTTACACAGTAAATACCTGCTGCCGACCAGGTGAGCTTTGGGGAGAATGTTACTACGGTGACGGGAACAGTGGTCGAGCAAACTTTCTTTGTGAAACGGAACAGTCAGAATTTCCCTGTTTTCAGGTTCAGACACTTAGAGTTATTAGTAAACTGCTTCGTGAAACAGACCCCAGATCAGACAATGAAGGGGCTAAACTTTGAAGTTACAGGTCTTTAGGCGCTATAAGCTGATGTTAGCGGTGGTTCAGTCAGCCTGCACTCAGTTCCTTCACTGATTCCATAAAAAAATTTTATTTTTCATTTTCGCAGTGATTTTTTTATTACATTTTTTTCTCCTTGTCTTTCAGGAGTATGGAGATATAGAATACTGCGACCTCATCAGAAACAAGCTGACAGGCGAAAGCAAAGGCCTGGGCTACGTGCGCTACTACAAGCCTTCTCAAGCCGCCCTCGCCATTGAGAACTGTGACAAATGTGAGTCTGAGCGCACATGGTTCATATCATGGATGTCAGTCGGCCTGCCTGCTCAGGATTCTTGTTGTCATTCTGTCTCCAGCTTACAGAGCCATCCTGGCTGAGCCTCGAAGTAAAAACAACTACTCTGAAGATGCAGGAGCATCCAGGGGAGGGGGAGAGTACGGCTATGTCGACTCCTTTAGCCAGCACACCTTCCCCACATGTAGGCACTTTAACTTGGACTCCTTTAAATGTTTGATCGGGTTCTGACTCGCTAACCTGGTTGTTTTATGTACAGCAGCTGATCAGGGAGGCCATATGGTAGTGGACTACCGTCATGGCGACATCACTCGCTCCCTGATCCTGAACACGCGGGCTGCCCTCACCCAGGAGCAGATCTTTGCTCTGTTCGACCTTATTCCTGGGATGGAGTACTGCGAGCTCCTCAGAGACTCCTACTGTCTGACCAAAGGTTAAAAGTGTTTGATTTTCACCGCATAACAACCAGGAGGGGAACTAGTGCGCTTTATGCGGAGCTTTATCACTCCATTATTATTGCCAGCAAATAACCAGAAAATGTAAGAATAAAAATACCATACAGGATTTTAAGTTTAAAAAATATAATAATCATAACAAGCTATTATTATATAATAATATATAACAAGCTTTTAAGTTTAACAAATTGAAGGAAAAAGTTTTATATATTAATATGTGTGCGTATATATATATTTTATAGTTTTTTTCTTTCCATTTTTCAAATTCAGTTTTTTCAAATATCACTTTTTGAATATTCCGTCTGCCCTTTCTATTGTCTGCTGGTCATTAGCAAAAACATTTTTTATTGGCCAGTGGGTATTAAGGGCTTGTATTTGTATTGGGCTTAAATATAAAAATTCAAAGCATATCTGTAAAAAAAATGATTAAAAAAAATAAAATATGAAAAAAAGTAAATCAAATTTGAGAAAACAGAAAAGTTCCTCTCAAAACCTTTTTTTTTTTTTTTTCGACTAAATGGTTTTAAAAATCAGCTCTTTAGAGCAAGCAACAATAATGGAACAAAATTGACTCCATAGGTTGTATTTTGACATGAAGCTCAGGTTGGAACCTTAACGATGCCCCTCTGTTTTCCTCGCAGGGCCTCTGGGCTACGCTCTGATTCGCTACAACAATCTGGGATCATCAGTTTATGCCAAGGAGAAGCTGAACGGCTTTGAGTATCCGCCTGGAAACAGACTTCAAGTAACTTTCTACGACGATGGAGAGAGGTGAGCACTGGAGACACAGCAGTTTACTGGGCATCTACAGAAAGATTAATGGCATTTAATAATAAAAAAAACAACCTGGCAGATCAGATATCCATCTGTAACATTCTAAGGTGGTTATCATAGTGTCCAAAGTTAATAGATTTATATCTACTAAGCTGTTAATCAACAGTTAGTCTGAAGTCGATTCATTTTCAGACGGTTCCTCCTGATATGTTTGATTACGATATTAGCTTTGACTATTGGGGAAACAGAGAAGGTTTATTTTGTTTAAGGATAAGTGCCTGGCTCATGCTAGCTCTGAATGTGTGTGCAGCCCTGCAGGTCGGATGGCCTCTCAGGTGGTCACAGCTCAGATCATGTCTACGGTCTGGAACGGCGCCTCCTGCGGGCAGGCGGTCAAATCGCCTGTAAGTTTGTCCAGTTTCTCTGCTTTTTAGCGACAGTAAGGATCCAGAGGAAGTTATATCCCTTTGATTTTTAGCCTGAAGAGTTTATTTGGACCAATCACAGAGCAGCATTTGTTCCCGTTTCCTGTCCCCGTGCTCTAATGGAGGAACTGTGACCGTTTTCCCACCAGGGCTACTCGTTGTCTCGGATCCAGGTGGACTTCAGCCTGCCTTCCCTGAAGAAGCTCGCTCCGTCCGACAGTAAAACCAAGGAGCGGCTGTTTGTCGTTTTCAACCCCTCCCCCCTGCCGCTCAACGTGCTGGAGGACGTGTTCTGGTAAACGCCACTGCACTCGGCCACGGCGCAGTGTTTGAAGAACAGTCAGATAACAGGATTATTATCCAGCCAGTGTGACGCGTCTCCCTCTGTCTGCCTCTAGTCGCTTTGGTTCTCTGATCGAGGTCCATTTGGTTCCAGGAAGGAACGTTGGATACGTTAAGTACGCCGACAGACAGGTGAGTCTGTTTCACTTCCTGACAAGTGAGTGAAGAATGTTCAAAGCATGGTGGCGAGGGTTAAAATGGAGTCTCTCAGTGTGCAGAGGAGGCCAAGGCCTTGCTCCACGGTCGGATCGTCAATGGGGTGAAGATGAAGGTGATGCTGGCTGATCCTCCGCGGGAGGAGTCCCACAAACGCCCCCGTACCTACTAGGAGACGGGTAAGTGTTGCATATCACTGAACATAAAGAAACATTTGATTACATAATGCCTTTCAGAATAAAAGCCCTCAGCCACAGTGCCTTGGAAACGTCTCCACTGTTTTCACACTTTGTCACGTTTTTAGCCACAAACTTAAAATGATTTAATTGGGTTTAATTTGTTTTTTTAAACTGCATAAATTTTAGGGAAGGAAAAAATATTTGTTAAAGTAGAAATCTGTAAAGTTATTTAGAGGTTTTAAATCATTGACAGGTTTCCACAGCACTGTGTCTCTCAGCAGGCAACAGATTTCCTGGCATCATGTTTCCTCTCATTGAGGAGTGAAGCAATGATGTTCAGACTCTTCAGCATCTCTGACAGATTTTTATTTTATATTAAAACTGTCATCAGAGATGTTAGGAGTTCCCTTTTTGTTAATAACTCTGCAGCTTCTTGTTCCCCAGGTTACTGTTGTCATAACAGACAGACACCTGACCTGACAGACCGACAGACAGCAACATCTTCTCCTGACCTCTGACCCGACCTTTTTCTGACTCCAGTCTGAGAACGGATTTTTCTTTCCTTGTTTGTTTTATCCACTTTAAAACCATTTTTGAAGTTTAAACAGTAGCTGATGTGGTTCAGATGATGAGCGTTTTTTTTTTCAGACTATAAGCATTTTATTCGCCTCCTGTCTGAAATGTAAACCCATACTGAGCTCATTAAATGTTCTTTGGACTGCTCCTTCGTTTTCTTAATAAAAGTACCTCAAGCGCTCCTTTCTGCCTGACTTGTCTTATTCCACTCTTGATCATTTTTTTGCTTATCAGTGTTATAACAAACATTTTGTATACCTATTTTTCTATATGATCCTCTGTGTTTTATGCAGTCTTATTCACAATGATTCCCATTATGACCATATATTTGAATAATCTTCATATAGAAATATGTTTCTCCCAAGAATCCTGAATGCTCCAAATTTACTGCTTTAAAGGAAAAAGTCTGATCAGCAAGCAATAACCAATGGATCATTATTTATACGTAAAACTAAAATGTTTGCGGTGATTTAATGAATTTAGCGTTAATCAGTAAAAAAAAAAAAAAAAAAAATCATTTTCGTGGTGATCACCAAATCTGTGAGCGGCCATTTTTGCCCAAATATAGTAGCCCCTCCCTCCTGCCATCTTCCAGCAGTGACGTCACGGTGCGGTAAGCCTATCGCCATTCTCCCCGCTTTACAAGCTAAATCAATGGGAACTACTAGGCACATCTGCAATCAACAACAATTATTGAAGATTTCCAGAGGACTTCACCATTGAAATTCACCAGAGCTATAGTGAAACTGACAATGCCCACGTGCATGGCAGCTGGATGCTGGAATACATCGGGTAAAAGTGGAAAAAAAAAGAGTTATTCCACCTTTCTGATTCCTGATCCTCCACGGACGGGTTGGTCGTTGGATCGCCAACTTGAAGAGGGAGGATTTGCCATCGAACTTCTGGCCAGAGAAAAAACCCGTAATATGTAGCCAACATTTGGAAGAAGAATGTTTTCAAGATGACTTGGATAATAGCGCGTTTTGACAAACACCAGATACAGCACTGGGACTTGATCAACAGCCGATACCGCACCGTGACGTCACAAACCAGTAGGTGGCAGTAGTGTTCTTAGACAAACATGGATGCCTCCAGTAAAGCACATTCACATGACTCTGAATTAAAAACATGAACAGTATGTAATAATTTCATATTTAAAGTACTTTCAGAAGTTTATATTCAGAATATGAGCAGACTTTTCCTTTAAAATGTAGATCTTCAGTGTAATAACCTCCTGAACCAAAAGGGGGCAGCAGAGTGGAAGCCTAGTCTTTCCTTGCATGGTGATAATGTGGTTAGGAATGTTTTTCCTGTAAAACATGTCATCAGAGGTTATATATGAAATGCTGCACAATGATAAAAATGTCCGGTTAAGAAAAAAAAAAGACATCTTTGTATCTATGGTGATCTCCAGATCTTTATGTGAGGGTCTGTTGAGCTCAGTCCATTTTTTAATAAAGTTTCCTTTTTATTGCTCTCTTAACTAATCTTTTATGTTTAATTGAAAGCTTTAAATAAAGAAGTTGGAAACTCTAACCGGTATCCATCTATACACCTGTATCATCATTATAGCTATTCTGTTTCAGTGTTTAGTCCCATTTTTGTATAATGGGCTCAGCTTTGACTGTGCTTAGCTCCATGTGCTCTTTCATCCTTATTTCCTAGACAGATCCATCTATGGAGCTAGTTTACTGCTAACTTTAACATTGAAAGTATTTATAGATCAGTGCTTCCATGTTTCTTTTGTCTACTTCTGCCTCCTTTGAACCCCAGTCGGCCTCAACAGATCCTCGGTGACAAGTTTGATTATGCTGCAGGTTTCTTCCTGTTAAAAGGGAGTTTTCCTCTCCACAGTCACTGCATGCATGTTCATTGTGAGGGATTGCTGAAGAGTCAACGACAGAATTTAATCTGCCGTCTTCCAGAAAGAGGGAATCCTGCAAACTTGATGCTGGTTTTCCTTTTACCAAATCTGACTGAACACTGTGTAAAGTGCTTTGAGATGATGTGTTTAATAAAAGTGATTGCATTAAATTGTGTTAAAATAAACCTTTTCTAAGTCTCAAATTTTGTTTAAATGTTAAAAAAAAAAGAGTTAAGAGGCAGAAAAATAGTTTAAAATCATTGAGGGTCCCACCCAGAAAAGTTTGGAAACAGCTGGTCTGCAGTCATGGCCAAAAGTTTTGAGAATGATTCAAATGTTAATATTTACGAAGTCTACTGCTTCAGTTTTTATAACGGCAATTTGCATATAGTCCAGAATTTTATAAAGAGTGATCAGCGTAACAGCAGGTAATATATTTGCCTAGAAATGAACTTTATCCCCCAAAACACATTTCAACGTCATTGCAGCCCTGCCTTAAAGGAGCAGCTAACATGGTTTCAGTGATTGCTCCATTAACACAGGTGTGGGTGGTGATGAGGACAGGGGAGATCAATCTGTCAGGATTCAGTCAGAATGACGCCACTGGACACTTTAAAAAGAGGCTGGTGCTTGGCATCATTGTTTCTCTGCTGTGAACCATGGTTATCTCTAAAGAAACACTTGCAGTCATCATTGCACTGCACAAAAATGGCCTAAGAGAAAAGATAATGGCAGCTAGAAAGATTGCACCTCAGTCAACAATCTATGGCATCATCAAGAACTTCAAGGAGAGACGTTCCATCGTTGCCACAAAGGCTCCAGGGCTTTGGTATGGAGTGAACTTTGCCCCTCTTTTTCCCCAAACAAAACAGATTTTGATTAGAATCAGGAAATGAAACTGAAAAACTTTGATTAAAAAGCCTTGAAGGTAACTTTGCCTTTTTATTTCTCAAAACAAATACTTAAATACTTTTTTTTTTTTTTTACAGATTTTATACCTATAAGTTCATTTCTTTTTCAGATACGAAATGAACAAATCGCATCCTTTTTCAAATAGAATGACAGATTTTACATCCTTTCCAGTTCAAGCGAATATGCAAACTTTTGCTCTTCAAACTAAACTCAATCTCACTCCAGAGTAAAGAAAATATGGGAAACAGAATCTGAAAGACAAATATGAAACGTGTGAATTTCTTATTTGGATAAAATAGGAAAAATATATTTAGTATAAAATGAAAAAAAAATAAATAAAAAATCTTAGAAAATAGAACCTTTTTGATTAATTTTAATTTCCCTCCATACTTTGGTAGGTTGATATCAGAGAACCTGTTTTCAGCCAAACACTAAAGAAAAAAGTGAGTCTGAGTTTCTACTGAAGTAACTGATTTTCTAAGAAAAAAAAAAGACAAGATGAATGTAGAGTCATTTTATTTAGTCAGGAGGAATCTCAAGAGATTATTTACAATATGCAGCTGGCAATGAGCACAAATCTGCCCTCGAGAGATGAAGGTAATGTTCATGAAGAAAGGACTGGATTTTGGAAGAAGTTTCAAATCATTAAAAAGAAATGATGGATTTGTTGAGAAAAAGTGCATCTTTACACTAAATCCTGCTTAACAGTGACAATCCCAGAGCTCCATCTGCTCTTCACTAAATATCTTATTGAACTGATCCCACAGAGAAAGATGGAGGCTGAATAAACTGTTAAATGTTAGCCAACAAGGTTTATCAGGTGATCCAAAGTGCACCAAGAACTCTGAATGACAGCAATCATGGAGCTGGCCCAAATCATCACCGGCAGGAAATCCGCTGAGAACACGGGGCGCAGAGGCAGGAAGTGATGTCATGAGATAATCAGGCTTTATTACTGGAGTCTCTGAAGGTTAAAATCATCCAAATGTCTGGTCTTTGATGTTTAGCTCCATGCATCCATCAGGCGTTCCCTTTAGTCGCTCCCTCTCAGTCTTCCAGCCCCAACGTGTTCAGTTCTTCATCCAGCTCCTCCAGATCTTCTCCTGTAAATAGATTTTCATCAACTGGCACGTCTTCTTCCTCCCCTCCTCCGTCTTCTGCTCCCGAAAGGCCGTTCGCCTCAGTGCCGCCACACGCGCCGTTCAGGTGCTCCTCTGCAAAGGTATAAAAAGGAAAAATAAATTAGTCACACATATAAACAGGAAATCAGAAGAAACCAAATAAGTTTAGGTAAATTTCTCCAATGTGAGATTCACTCCTTAATTCTCTGATTGATTAACACTGAAGCATCCAAACCATGAACACGTTTTATGCACCAGATCATCCAGAGCAGAAGATCATGTTTTTCATGCATCTCAGCAGGAATTTTTCCATCTTAAATGCAAAATGTTAACTTTTTTTTATTTTTACAATCTTGGTATAATTACTACTCTATACTCCGGTTAACAATTCATTGATTACTCAATGAGTTAAAGATTATTTTACTAATTGATTAATCCGATATTTTCGGCCCTGGTCGTTTAAAGGCAATATCTCAGTCTCCCTCCATTTACACAATAAAGATCAGACATTGGTAACATATACTATGTTTCCTCAAACTTAACCTTTAAAAAAATAATAAAGATAAAGTCAGAATTAGCGTCAGCTGATTTTCTTACCGTTGTCCAACTTTTCCGTCTCGGTTCTGGAGGTGAATCGGTCCGTAGATGCTACTGTAATACCTGAATGATCCACCTCTTGTGGAACAAAACGGGATAAGTCTATATCCTGGACATCTGTAACGTCAGTCTGAAAGAAGAAATGTTCATTTCATTTCAAATATTCAATTCATCTTGATAATTATCTTTCAATAGATCAGTTAGCTGACTGAACATTGAGCTCAGTGTGAAGTCAGAAAATTATAAAAATAATGAAAAACCATTTGTTGACATATTCACCTCTCCTTCATACTCGTCCTTGGTCTCTTCGGCGTATTTAGTATCATCGGCCTCATCATCGTCGTCATCCACCAGCTCCGGCCTGAACTCAAACACCTCGCGGCCGCTCACCTGCACACGATTCAGAGGGAAGCCGTGTGTTATCAGAGCAGAGGTGTGGAAGTGTCCGGCTGCAAACCGAGCATTTACTTACAATCAGAGACTTTCCAGCCTTGAAGTCTGCCTTCTTTTTCTCCATCTCCTCTCTGGCTTTATCCACCTGTAACAGAACGGTTTACGGATCGCTCTTATTTCTGCAACAGATCCACATTCTGGTGCCGCTAAAACAACCCGAATCCTGATGGTTAGAGGAATGCCGACCTTCTCCTGCCTTTTCCTCTTCTTCCAAGCCAGGAAGGTCTCCAGGGT